AAAAAATTAGACTGCTGAAAGTTTTTCGTTAAAAATAACGGGGTAAATAATTTGTTCACGTAAATGTAAATTATTCACTTTTCTCCTTCCAGAGAACAAATTAGCCTCATGGAATTCGTAAATATATCATTCATCACATGTCAAGAGACGCGAAAAGTTTATGACCTGGTTTGTTTTATTTTCAAATTACATCTTTTTGACACAAAAGCTAAGTTAAGTTTGGTTCAAAATATTTTAAATAAACATTATAATTTCTGATTTTCTTAAAATAAGTTTTGAAAAATGATAATTGATATTTAAAAAATTTCAAAGTCAGATTTCCAGGTTTTTTTAAATGGAAAAATGGTCAATTTTGCTGACTCAAAAAAACTAGATTTTTAACGAAAATTTCGGACGTGCTAGGAACGATTAAAAATGGAAAAAAAATACCCCCAAAATACTTTTGACCTTTCCTCTTAATAATAACAAACATTTAGATGATAAAATTTTGTTTTAAATCCAAGTTTGGCGTCTTTTTTCATCATGCTATGCTCTTTTTTTAGCGATCTCTAATTAAAATCAAACAATAATTTGATTTTTGCAAGAATTTCCAAATCTGTGTTTTTCACCCCCAAAAAAGTGCTAAAAAACTAATGGTAAATATTACTGACAAAAAAAAAGATTTTTAACAAAAATTTTGAATGTGCTAGAAGGGCTTAAAAAATTTAAAATGATCAAAAAATACTTTGGTCTTTGCTTTTAATAACATAAGCATTTTGATAAAACTTTTTTTTTTTGGGGCCTTTTTTCATCATGCTATATCTTTTTTTTTTTTTTTTTCTTGGCAAATTAGTAGAGATATCTAATTTTTAGTGTCTTTTTTGTCATTAAAAACACATTGTTTTGAAAATTCTTGCAAAATCAAATATATGTTGGATTTTAATTAAATTTTCAGGAATTATTCCCAAATGAATTAAATTATTTTTTTATTTATTTACATCTGTTACCCCTACTGATTTAATTTAATGCAATTCTGTGAAATAAAATTTTGTAGAGCTTAATGTTTATATTAGTTAAATGCAGAAGACAATGGAGAATTTAAATCATCAATTTCTTTTTGTCAAACAGGTTTCCCAGTTACAAAAAATCTGGTTTGAATCATAAAATAATAAAAAAATCAACAGAACTATGACATTATTTAATTAGAGAAGCTTTTAATTGCTTTTATAAATAATATATATTATGAACACTATTGTCTTAAAAAATTTTTGACTAATGAATTTTTACAAGAATTATTTTCATTTTCTTAAAATCTTAATTAGAACAATTTATAAAGTTTTTTTTTTAGATCTTTTAACATTCTGTATTACTTTGTAGCAGCTAGATGATATTATTAAGTAATCAAATGGAAAAGCTTACTCTAATTTAGCACCCCCCCCATTTTAAAAAGAATTTTAATATTTTTGTGTAATATGGTCGTCCATACACAACATTAAGCAAATAAAAGCAGTAACTATAGTAAATTTAAAGCCAAAGTACCTAAACTTCAGTAAAATATTCAATATTTTCCTAAATTAAGATTACTAGGTAGTTAAACATGATATAAAAACACTTGCATTATATTCAAGTAATTTTTTTAGAAAAATTCCCAAATATGTCTATCGGAATAACACCTACCTCCATGATTTTCTGTAATATTTTAACTATAAGTAATATTTGTTTAAAATCAGATTAATTAAACTTAAAACTAGATAATATTCTTCAGAAAAGTATATTTTATTTTTAATAAAGAGAATTATGTTGTGTTGACAAATTTCTAAATATGGATAAAACCAGTCATTTTTAGAAATTTCAAAAAAAAAAATACAATAAATTGTTTATTCAGTTTGAAATAGAGCAAAATATTTTGCTTATTGAAAATTATTAAATTTAATCTATTAGCTTGAAATTAGAGCTAAAATAAAAGCTTAAAGAGAGATTTTTCATTTTTAAAAATTGATTTAGATCTCAGGTATCACTTTGGAAGTACTTGTTTATATGCATGTTATTTAAAATAACAGTTTTTCTTTTGAGTAATTAATGCCATATGTATAAACTTGCATTGGACATCTTTCAAACACTGATATGAATAAAGATTTTCTGAACAGTTTGAATGAATCTCCTTCATTTTCTCTTCTAATAATGATTTGCAGCCTGAATGTGTTTATAAGCCATGACCCCAAACATTTTTACTTGTTTAAACCATTATTTAGGTGTTTTTTTGTTTTTTTGGGGTTTTTTTTTTTTCTGTCATCCCTAAAATACTTCAATTATACCATGATTGATAAAAACCTACCTAAATTTATAAATATCTCTTGGGACATTTAAAGTGAAAAATGTTTTCTTTGTCCATGCTCATATAAATCATTAGTGTAGCAAAAGGAAATAATTTCCTGCTTATATAAAAAAATAATAATAAAAATAATTTACTACTTATATAAACAGAAAATTACAATATTCTGTTAATTCTTCAGTTCATTGGAATTTGAACTTTACATTTCTCAGTTATTAAAACCAGTATTATTTAAAAACAATATTTCAATACCTAAGGAAAATCATAATCAAGAATTTTTAAACCTAAAATAAAATTCAAGGCATATTTTTCTACATTTCAAGTTGAAGTATTTAATTAAATGTCAATTGTTATTTGTTCAGAAATTGATAGAAATAGAAATATTTTTGTGGCCAAAAGATATTTTGAGATTTCATGAAATTAAAGATTGATTTAAAAAATTATTTCCACAAACATTTCTTACAAAAATGCCCATGTCTTTACTCTTGAGATGTTGACTGTGATTTAAAAATATATATATTTATGGATATTCTCAATGAGAGGTTTTTCTTTTCTTTACAAAGAGGGGAATTGAGAGAATTGAAAAATGGTTTACTTCTTTATTGATTATAAGAAGCATCAGAAATTAAAACTTTTCTGTCTGTTTCCATCATAAACAACTATCAGGTCATGTATTATGTTTATACTTTAGCTGTAATTTTAATAGGTTGTAGTCAAGTCTATCATAGAAATTTGGATTTTAATACATTATGGACTAGACTGGGTTTTGTCAATGTAGAGTATAAAATGTTGCTGTAAATTTAAGATATGACCCAACCAGAAAAAAAATTAATAGAGATCTAATCATTTGAAAGATGGTGGAAACAAATGATATAACTGATATATTTAAAGATTTTGTTTGTGATGCAAAATATAATGATTGCACAGAAAAGGGACATATTTAAAATATGAAGTTAAAATCAAAAGAAAAAGTAGGGACTGATATATATATATATATATATATATATATATATATATATATATATATATATGTGTGTGTGTGTATATATATATATATAATAAATTTTATATTCACAGTACTTAGTAGAAAGCGCTCAATATCAGTGATAAAGCTAATATATTCAGTTGTATGGATATGAGTTTGTGATCCTGGGTTTCTTGCTTTTGTGACCATCAGACAATATATAAAATCTTGTCTGATGATCGCAAAAGCGTGAAACCCAGAGTCATAAACTCATATCCATTCGTGTGTGTAATATAAATATATATACTATACTTTATTATAGGATATTACATTCAAACATGTAGGAACAGCGCTACATAAATGCACTCATGTTTCGATGTGTATCAACACATCTCATCATATGGATATATGTATGTATATAATGTATACACACCTACATACACACTACAGTTCAAAAGTTTGAGGCCACCTCCAAAATTAGCATCAGGTGAATTTGAGAGAAGAGTGAAATGTTTCCATCCCAAAAATAAAAAAGAGCTCTTAAAGTCATTGAAAAAAAAGAATGGCATCAATTATTAAGCTTGGGAAACAAATGCTAAAAAATTTGTGCTGTAGTAATCAAGGCTAAATGAGGATAATTAGACAATTTTCATTGTTTAAACTGCCTTTCCTGTGTAAACAAAAAGAATGGCTACTAGGACAATGGTCTGTGTATACATACTTGGAGTTAGTAACTTACTAATGCAGTGTATTGTTTTCTTTTTTTTAGTCAGTACATACTTTTATTTTACTATCCTTGCTCATGTTTTAATAAGTGAAGTACAAAGCTCTCAATATTATTTTTATTTTTTTATATTAAATGTCAGTTCCTTTGTCTTTGGTTTTGACAACATATTTTAAATATGCCAATTTTCTACACCATCATTAAATAGATATATTCCTGTTCAGTTTTATTGTATGTGACGCAGTATCACTTTGAAATAGCTGTGAAGTAATTTTATCATAGATGTTTAATAAGAGAAAGATTTGTGAGTTTTTTAACTAAAAATTAACAAAACTTTTAAATGGAACATTTTTTATTTTAATATTGACATGATAAATTGAAAATACATATTGTCTATAATTTTGAAGATCTGTTTGGACAGTTGACATCAGTAATATGATTCTTTGAACAAATTTAAATCTTGCATATTTTTTTAAACTTTCTAACTGGTTGAAAAGGGTCTGAGGTTCATTTATCATCTAAAACTATCAAGTATGGTAAATAATTTCCCAACATCTGTTGCTTAACTAATATCCACAATACCCATATAGCATATCTTGTGTTTTTGGTAAATTAAGAACTTGGTATATTTTTCATTTTAGCCCTATTTAGATTTTGGAAAAGGCTTACAAAATTTTTTTTTGATTTTTTATTTTTATTTTTTTTGTTTTCATTTTAGCAGATTGCCTGAAAAAACAATGGAAGAGAAAAACCACAAGTCATTATCAAATGCTATGTTGAAAAAATACCTGATGATACGAGACAGTTCATTCACAAAGACTGCTAACCTGTGCAGTTACACATGGGCCAGGCAGTATGGACTTTTTCATAATAAGGCTTGCAAGTTGGCCAAAAGACAAGCTGCTGTAAATATGCCACAATTATTTAAAGAGAAAGAATTTGCTTTGGGATATATAAACAAAGTTTTTGCTTCGCAGTGGCTTGACAAAAATCTAGTTGTCATGGGAACCAAATGTAACAAAGTGAGTTTTTCTTATTTAATAGTTTTTGTCTAATTCTGATACATCATTAAAATTTTGGTAATATAGTGCCCCTCTGAGATGTATACATATTTTGTTTGCTAATAAGTTATTACCTGAAAATTAATTAACAGAATAGTTCTAACATTTTGAAAAGATTAGATATTTATTTAAATTTTCAATATATTTAGAAAATTATAAAATGATATACTGTTTTTGAGCATACATTTTTTTCTGCAAAGTTAATGAGTGCACAAAATGTATATTAATTGATTTTATATTATTTATTCTCTATTCTGAAAGTGTTTAATAACCAACACTACTATTAACCAACTTGTGTGTGTGTGTGCATTTCTTATTTTTAAATGCATCTTAAAAAAAAAATTATAAAATTAAAAACTTAAATTTCCATGACTGAATTTTAAATTGTTGCTCAGTGAATAATTGAGTTAAGAGAGGCAGGAGATTATTATTATTTATTATTACTGCTGAAAATGTAATTTTTTTTGAAAATTTTTCATTTTGAAGAAAAAAATTTTTTTCTGCTCTTCTTCAGCTAATTGTCATAGATGTTGTTACTGGTCGAATGTTTGATATTCCCATGTTGAAAAGCAGTCACTTGAGCATTGCACCAGATCCCTGTGGAATTCACAGTATTGAAATCAACCCATCTCGGACTTATCTGGCTACTGGAGCCCACAATACTAATGATTTAGCTGTCTATAAATTACCAACATTTGATCCAATTTGTGTAGGAGAAGTAAGTGCGATAGATTTTTATTTTTTTATCAACATTAATATGTTGTTTATTTGTATAATTGTTTTCAGTTACAATTTTGTTAAATAGATTTTTAACCAATAATTTTAAAAAATCTTACATTGATGAGCACTAACAATGAAACAAATTTCTGTCAAATTTGAAGTATGTAAACTGTATAATTAATGTATTTAAATTTTTAAAAGAAACATTTTCTTTATCTTGCTGGTTAAAATATTGTGCCAAGTAATGTGCTTATGATTCTACAATGGGTATTTAAACAACTGGCAAACCACACATTCCTGTTATGTACTTACATTTATCAATGAAAACTTTTTCTTTCAAGATAATCTTTCAAGAAACCACTTTCTCAGACTATGCAAAACTACATTCTACACTCAATGTATACACTTTTTGTTATGCATTTTGTTAACCAATTTAATCTAGAAAAATTCAACAAAACCTTTGTAATAGTCATTTGCCTTGTTTATAATGACATTGAATTGCTATAATTTGACCATACTACAAGAAACACTTTTATTTTTTTCCTAGCTAACTTTATTGGAATGTATTCAAATATCTGCATTTTAAATAATGTATACATTATTGCCAAAGAAAAATTTCCTGAGTTGTATTTGTGTAATACTCTTACTTAATCTTTGCTTGTGTTGGAAAATATTAATTTAATGTTGAATTAAATATATAGTTCCAAAGTATTTAATCTCTTTAAGCTGAAGTCATCTTCATTCAAGAAAACATATTTAATAATTTTTCTTTTAAGTAAACAGAATTAAGCTGAGGTAACATTTAACTCCCAAAATCTCGTCATTTTTAGTTCTACATTTCTGTTAATAGGAAGAGTTAGAACTATGAACATGAGTGTTAATCACTACACAATTTTAATTAATTGATCATTGTTAACAATAAAAAATGTTAGATAATCAATCAGAAAACACAAGATAATACTTGTTTTTACAGTGGTTTATCTTAATAGGCCTAATTATTTACTTCTTGCCTGAAATAAACTCTTGTAAAGTAGTATGTATATATTTTGCTAAAATAGAGTAGAATTTCATTTTAAATTTTAATCTCTTCTGTACATCTCCATAGTTTATTCTATATATTTTGGGCAAAGTACTTTTTTCCTATCACCCATCTATAAATGATTATATGATATAAAAAAAAAGAATATGTAAAAAACAATCATCTATTGATTGTATTTCTCATATTTTTTGGATGATTACATTTGCAAACTTCATTTTTAAATAAATTGACATTTTAAAAATGTTCTCTCTCTCTCTCTCTCTCTATATATATATATATATATAAAATGTGTATGTATGTATGTATATATAATGTGAGAGAGAGAGAGGGCTGCTTATTTTCCATGAAAACAAAAAAAAACAGAATGGCCTACTTGAAATGGAAATAGTGATTTTTGAAATGGAAGACAAGGATGTGTCTTCTCACTAGACTTGTTCAACTTTCACAGCAAGGTAATCCCAAGAGAACTAGAAGTCCTACCAGAATTTATTATTGGCAGACACCATCTGGTAGCAAAAACAGAAAGGAAATTGCAGGAACTTCAAGAGAATATAATTAAGAAAAGTGAGAAGAATGGACTAAACATCAAATTTAAGAAAATAGAATGTATGGTTGTCAGCAATGATGCAAATTATGAATTGGAGATACCAAAATCAAACATGTACGAAAATTTAAATATCTAGGAAGTGTTTTAACAGATGACAAATATTTAAATTCAAAGGTGCATTGGTATAACAAAAGATGCTTTCCAATAGCTAAGTAAAGTATTAAGAAATAAGAAAATCTTGTTAGAAACAAAGAGCAGTCCTTCTATATGACAGTGAATGATGGGCAATCTCCTCACAGATGAAAAAGAGACCTAACAAATGCATTACTACAGAAGGATGCAGAGACTACTGTGGACTGAACATGTGAGAATTAAGGAAGTTTTAAGAAAAACAAAAAGAATGCTTGTATTTAGGATCAGACTCACATTGAGGAAAGAGAGATTGGAGAATTTGACTGGACATAATGAGGGACAGAAAGGAAACAGCAAGTAACCTACATAACAAGATTGCGTAAATGGATGGCAGAACAGAAGAGTGGGAAGGATGGTTAGATTTAAAAAAAAAAAAAAATGCCAAGAGCTTCAAAGGATAGGAACTTGTAGAGTGCCATGACGGGACACAACACAAAATAAGGTCTTCATAGATGCAGGTTTAAATCTGTTTTCTGTCAAAATTTTTTTATTCCAATTATTTAAATTATTTTCAGGCTTTTGAGCTGATACGCATAAATTGTTGAACCTTTATATATTAGGTTATTTAGCAGCTTGAAAAAAAAACATTGAAACAGAATATTAAATAAAATTAATATTGAATTAAAAATTTTTTTTTTTTTTTTTTTTTTCAAAATGTACTAAAAATGTCAACATAGCTTACTTGTCTTTATGCATTGTTTACTCCAGAGCAGGAAGAAAATGGGTTTGTTTGAAGAATTAAGTAAATTAATTATATTCCTCAACAAAACAACCCTTTATTTTTAAAGATCACAAAATGCCAGACTGGAAATAAATTTAAAAAAAATTATTAAAGCTGAATCTATAAATCTCTATTATCTCAAGTAAGAGATGCTAAATTGGGCAAGACATAAGACAATGGAAATATAAATAATAAAACTACACTAAATTTCTTTCCAGGTTTTCAAGCAACACACTTGCAGAAACATTCAGCCTTATATATTAAATGTCAAAAAAAATACTTATATGCTCTAAAAAAGTAATTGTGCTAAAGAACACCCGGCCTGAGTATATTTCCTATTTTTCCTGATATTTCTTCACATTAAACTTACCAAAAACAAATGAAATCTATTTTGTTTTTCTGTTAAGATGCTAATTATCTGTCTATATCTCTGAGATGAGGTATTATGATTATTTACGTTATTCAGACTGTTATCCTCATTGCAATATTCACAATGTTTCGGTTGTTGTATGTTCCAGCCTTCTTCAAGTGATTGGAATTTTGAACCAAACTCTTTATTTCATCAACCGGGATAGATTGTTCTAGTTCTATATGCCATGCCTCTTCTGGATGTCTCAGTTATTTCCCTTTAACTCTCCAAGTTTTTTGGTTCACCATTCTGTAGCCTGATATTGAGCTCAGTACCAGGTTAAAGCAGTGGTATTGAGCTCAAAATAAAGGGTTTGGTTTGAAATTCCGGTCACCTGAAGAAGACCGGAGCATACAACAGCTGAAACGTCATGAGTATGGCAATGAAGTTGAGGATAACAGTTTGAATAATGTAAATAATGTAGATGCTAATTACTTTACAAAGTTACTGTACAAGACCAGTGTTGATGAAAATGAACAAACAGTTGATAACAAAGATTGTAAAATAGATAATTCTTAGTTCTATATTTCATTTGTTTCACTTTGATATAAATTAATGTGGATTAAATTTAAAACCTGAAGTTATGGCTTATTTGTGCCAATAATTTAATCAGTTTTGAATAACTTTACTCTGATGGAAACAACACCACGCTAAGAAGTAATTTTAGTATCAGTTTTGTGCTCTCATTTCTTCTAATGGTGACATCCTAATAATGACACTCTTGTTTTTTTTTTTCTTTTTACAGTTTGGACACACTGACTGGATATTTGATATGACATGGCTTTCTGATGATGTTATTGTTACAGGTAACTAAGAATGAATTCATACCTGTCATTTTTTTTTCTATATTTAATTGCATTTTGCTTAACATAGTAATTTACATTGTTACTATAATTGTTTTTTTTTTTCTATGAATTAACTGAAAAGAAATAGAATGGAAAAATATTTTCCTTCATCCTGCTTTAAAGATTAAGATTGAACAGTTGTAATCTGATAATAATGGCATTGTGAAAGAAACTGATCAAAAATTTCTAACGGCTAGTATGAGTTCTGTGTATGCATAATATCTGTTCTTTTACAGGTAAAATGAAATTGTACATTTGTTCATATTTATTATTAAAGAAAATATTCAATTAAAATTTGAGAACATATTGCATTAAACAATATTTTGTGGGGATGTATTGTTACCTAAAGTTCCTTTATTTGGTTCCTATTAATTTCAGTAGTGAATTTTTGCATTTTATTGAATTTTTAGTTATATATAGAGAAGGAAACACACACACACACACACACACACGTGACCTGCTTAAGATATTTTAAGTGGATTATGATTTTAATGCTGTTTAATATTGAAAATAGGTCTAAATGTTAATATGTTGATTAACACTGCTCAAACCCATCCCGTAAATATAAGCTTTCAAAGTCTCACTGTTTATGTGACTTCCTGCATTATTTGTGATGTCATATATTATGGCAGCGTGTACATGGGTCTGATTATGGTGGGATGAACATTAAGAGCCAATATTTATGTTTGAATGCTAAAGGGTTAAATCAGATGCAAAAAACAACTTGAAGACTTAATTATATTGCAAATTAAACAGTGACACTTATTTTTGCTTATAGTATAAATAGAATAAAAAAAAATATAAAAATCAAATTATTTCACAATGCTTCATTGGTGTCTCTATTTCTTTTATTTTGATATTCAGGGTCAGGGTGAAGGCTCTTTTGACTGTTGCAATTTGATGTTTATCATCAATGAATTTTTCTGAAATGGAAGAGTTCCTTTTCATTCCTTGAGCATGAATTCATACATTGATTTGCATATATTTTGCAATATTTTTTTTTTTTTTTTTTTTGTTTTCCCTCACTTTATAACCTGCAGGTTCCAGAGACAGCACCATTGCCCTATGGAGGATAAATGAAAAAGAATTGGATACAAGCTATGAATTGCCTCCCAGATATTCTCATATAAGGCCTTATTGTATCAAGAAGTGTGGTCTAGCAGAAAAAATCAGATCTTTTTCTTACTGCAAAAAACGACAGGTAAATAATAATGGTTTTAAAATATTGAGGTTTTGGAAAAAAGCACCAAAAAAAATTTTATGAAAAAATAATATATTTATATATATATATATATATATATATATATACCTACTACAGTCGAAAAATATCAAGTATAGAACAGGGAATTTTAAATCACCCAATTTTTAATATGTACTAAATATCTGTAAAACAGCTTTTTCAGGTAGTTCTTTTTCTTTATACAACAAACTGAAATTGTGAGGTATTTTTGGTGATATAAATTTTAAAACACTTTTAAACAAAATGTTTTTTGCTTTTCTCAAATGGATCATTGTTCAACTATTTGAATCCTTAACATATGAAAGTTAAACATCTAACATGACTGAAATGCTTGCAAACTAAAATCTTTAATATAGTTAATAGATAAAAGTTGATTGTGGATTGGTGATGTGCATGTATGTCAAAAATATTTATATATGAAATGAAAGAAATGATGACAATAACAATTCAATAAGCATAATTTCATGTTCGAAATTAATAAGGCCACTAATTTGATTTATAGGATATTAATTGTGAGTTTGACATTTTTAATGAAATTCAACATAAAAATGGTTTTAACTATCAGTCTCCATCTTTTATGTGACATGTTAGCCATATTTACTGTAGCGCATACTGAACAATTAACAATTGTTGAAATAAAAATAAAAGAACTGTTTTTACAATATCAGTTGGAGACTTGGGTTTAATATTACAATCAGCCGTTACTTGCTCTTATTTTTCAAAAAGGCAGACTGAAAAATTCTATGAAAAAGAGAATGAAAAATAACGAGAAGAAAGAACAACTCCAACAACATTAATGATCCTACATGAGACAACACACATTTTATTGAAAGATTAATATCAGAGTTCTATTCACCACATTATAAAAACTCTGAATTTCCAGGATTTACTTTCAGGTCAGTTTTTTCATGTCTCTAGATTTTTGATTTTGAAATTTTCTTAGTATAAAAAAAAAAGCATCAAAAGATGTTACAGTAACAATTATCTACAAATCTAAATGTGTTTTATAGAGTGACTGCTGGGGGTAATATTTTTTTCCTATTTTAAAAATCAGTTTTCCTTTTCGAAATATGTTTTGTGAGAACAAGCTGTTTTTAGAAATGAAACATCTGACAATGAGGACTGTAAATGGTTCATTGCTGTTTAGCTTTTTTATTTAGGTTTTGCCTACATTCATTACTTATTGGTTTTGGGTTACTGATTTAATATTCATATGTTGCAACACATAATGAAATATATGAATTTCTATCTAAATTGATTGTCACATAAAATATGAAGACTGATTAAAGATTTCTAAATTTTATATATTCATTAATGAATATTTCTCAATTATTACAAAATTACTGAACTTGATTTATATTTAAATGTTTGCTCTCTTTGTAGAGATAATTTCTTTTTGGGTGTCATATGGTGTTTCCTTTCTTTTTTTTCCGTAGGAACTTGCTTTGGTTTCCTTAAATGAATACTTCCAAACCTGGGACATGAGCAGTACTGAACAGGTAATGTCACTGTGCACCATCATAGAGGTCAACATTAGCCTCTACTACAGCCTCTTGGGTTTGCTCTTTAGCAACAATTTAGGAATTATGTACAAAACTAGCTATGACAATTATCCGTACTGCAACATGCTTGATGCTAAGTCAGTTTTATTACTCAGTCAAGTTAATATGCCTACAATAATGATCTTGTTTTTGTTTTCTTACTTCCTATTTATTACCTTGTGTGCTTTTTTTTTTGTATTGTTCTTTTTTCTTCATAAAAAAGAAAAAAAGCCATAACAGTATGGTTATGGAATTTTATGGTAGGCACTTGAGTACCTTTAAATATTTACAAGGTTTCAAATGTCTGTTTTATAACAGACCTTGAAGCCTTGGGAAAAAGAAAAACAAAAAAGAAAAAAGATTTCTGTTTACCCCATCCACAAAGTCAGGTGGAAGTCCATTCCAGCCCAAGACTGACTGGTATCGTGCGCCGCTTTCAAAGACCTCGAAAGAATTGGTGTTGAATCAGTCAGGATATGGCTCACCACCAGAGCTGGTGCTTGTCAGGCAGGCAGGCAGCTGACCCATGTCTGGTAGCATGACTTGCAGGCGTCCCCCCCAGGAAGCGGCGTGCACACAAACTGCAGCCCGAGCGAGAGCTGTCTGCTAAGGCTATTCAGGTAGGTGTCTGACCTTATAAATTCTGGATATTTTTTATTTGCTTAAAAACAATAATTCCACCAAACCACCCTGTAAACCCATGTTGTTTTGCTCTCACGTAATGGTCCGTTGGTATCTTTGTTAGGTTTTACAGCTATCTTTACCGAATTTCCGGGAACCAGTCTGCATGACCTACTGCAATGAAAGGCAAGTCTATGCAATTGGATCACAGGCTCATGTTACTCTTATTGATACCAGACTTCCACAAGAAGTAGCAAACATAGAGTCAAAGGAAGGAAGTTCAGGTGAGTATCTAACATGAAAAAATGCATTTATTGTATTGCTATGTATGTCATGTTCCTCATGACCTGTAATTATATATACATGCTATAGGATTACTGAAGTTATGAAAATCTGTTTTGATAATATTAACATTAAACAAAAATTTCTAAAAGTCAAAAAGAAATGAAAGCTCTCACATATTACTAATTTTTTTTTTTAATGATAGTTTATTTGGTTAATAAAAGTGAATATGTATACAAATTAGGGCCTGTAGGATGGTGATAGCTATATCTTCTAAAACATGTTATGAAAACATTTAGAGGCTAATTGGATAATTTTATTTTTAAACAATGCATGGGAACTTGAATATATATACCTTTTTTGATGTTATTTTTTCCTATCATGTCAAAATAACAAGCGTTTTATTTTCTGTCTGCATTGGGAGTTGTACATAACTTTTGTGTTTAGGGTTAGAATTTGTTAGTGTTCCCCTCAGAGTTTTTGAAATAATAATTTTAAAAAAGCAACTTTCCTAAAAATGAATATTTGTTAATACTCTGTCACATTTTACTATGCAAGTCATGGTTTTCACAATAAAATTAGTATCAAACTTGGTAAAAACTTTGTATGTTATATATGCCATGTAGATTTCTGCTTAAGTTTTTATTATTAATATTTATTATAATTAATTTGATAATGTAAAATTTTATTATGCAACTAAAGAGAATAATATAGTTGATATTTGTTTAATTTCAGATATATAAAGATTGCCATGGGCCATAAGAAAGATATAACCTCAAAAGAGAAACAAAATATTGTGAAGTTAACAACTAAAGAGGAAACTGTTGGAAATTGTAAAACATTGAACAGAGATAGAATAATCAAAAAGAAATTGTAAACATTGACAAGATAAGAACAAGAAAATATCTTTTAAGAATGTTACAAAAAGAGATTTAAGAACAATTAAACAGGTAATAAGCAAGAAAACTATTGACCAGCGAAAACATATTTGAAGCTGGTATTGTGAAAAAGATGTAGAATATTAAGGACATTAGTTGGAGAAGTACATAAAAACTGATTCTTTAATTTTTAGTAATAAACCTGAACAATAAAATTTGAACCTGATGTCTAGGTTAGAAGTTGGATCCTTCATGAAAATAGTCAAACACAATTTATAATACAACAGTTGAAAGGTGGATTAATGTTTTTAACTAGTGTTGTAGACAGTAAAACTATATTCCTTCAAAGTTGATGACAGTTAAGATAAATGCAGAGAATTATAAGTTCTTGGATAAAATGTTCTTTAGTATAGGTCATAACTAAGAAGCCTTAAGCTAAAGCATATATTCTTACAAGACTATGCACCTTCATATTCTACAAAATCACCTTAACAAAAAGATTTCAAAAATTTCTTCAGATATTAATCCATGAGAAAAATTATGGTCTGCATTAAAAGATGTGTATATGAAAAACCAATATTTTAGCAAAAGTCACTAAAAAAACATCTGCAGCAAGTCCATATTAAAGTTGAAACGATATAAGAGTTAAAATAAATGGTTGAAAGATTTATGAAGGTCAAGGAGCTTTTATTATGATGTAATAATAATTTAAGTATATAGGATATTGTGTTAATCAGATGGTTTCTATTTGGTTTATTTATAAATTAAAATTTGTGTTGAACTTTGCATAATAAAATCTGGTACTCCCTCAAAATAAATTACCAATATTTTTTATATGGCTAGCTGAAACTGGCACAATATATTACTCTTATTCATATAAGTATGAAAAATTTTACCAACCTTAATTGGTTCATATCAATTTTATTTTGAAAACATTGACTTGCTGACATAATACAGTGTTGTGATTGTTTAAAAAAAAAAAAATATTACAGCAGAAATTGCCTTTATTTATAGAGTAAAGAGAAATACATTTTTTGTACTGTTGTGCAAATTTATACAGAATCCGTTGACTCCTACCAAGCCAATTTACACTTTCTCTCCAATGAACTACTTCAGTTTTTTGCTTTGTTTTTAGGTATTCGATCCATCAGCTTTCATCATGATGTCATCACACTGGGAACAGGACTTAGTGTCATCATTTTCCTAGATATGCGGACCCGAAAATATCTGGAGACTCCAATGAAGAAACATTGTCAGTTGATTGTTGGTGAGGGATGGATGGTGAGTACTATCCTAATAGATAGTTCTAATGGAAAGAAAAAAATCTGGTCCAACAAATAGTCTCGTTTTTAAGAGTAATTTGAGTGGGCACAAAAGCCTGATCCACTTCCTCAAATCTGACTAAATGATCAAATGTCAGAATTTATTTTGGGATCTTTTCTGGGTCAAGCTAAAAAATGTTTAGCCTCTTGTAATTACTATGTTTTGGTTCAGAAAAAAGTAACCACTCTTCAGACTTGGCTGCAATGTAACCATTAAAAATAAATATTATTTCAATATAGATTTTGCTGGTGCATTTTAGCTTTGAAAAATTTGATCTTTCACATAATTTTCTTTGCAGAAAACATCATACTAATTTTAACATAGTATTTTTGTACTGTATTTATCATTTGTTTAGTTAAAAGAAGTTATTTAAATGTGAAATATAACGTTCTTTTTTTTTTTTTTTTACAAATTAAGTCTTAACAGCAAGGTAAATTTAAAAATCTATGTATTAACCTTTTCTCTAAACATTAGCATTTATGAAATTGAAATTATCCAAATGTTAAGTGCTTTCATTTTGAGAGATAATATTTAAGTTTTTTTTTAAGGGCGTTGAATGGTCATCATTCAACCACTTCATGACTTGGTCTCTGTCAGTTTCCACCTCCTATCCGTGTGCTAATTTTAGATAGATCTTTGGGAAAGATTGGTTAAACCATCCATTGATTTGAACAAATCCAACCACGAGAAAAAGATATTTACAGAATAAACAAAAGATGTCTGTTATCAGTAACCAAAATAATGCTCTTATTTGGCCAGGGTAACAAGTGTCAACATTTTTCCCTAACTTCAGTCGGTCTTTGATTGGCAACTATCTTATTACAGACTAGAAACTATGGTGTTAGGCCTGCAATCAAAGTTTAATCTTCAATTTAAGAATTTCTGCTTGCAGAACAGTCAAATTGAAGAAACTCTTCTCGTTTTTATTTGTTGAAAAAGTGGGAATGTCCTTCAGGTCATGTGTTCATTAAAATTATTTTTTGAACAAAGGATGCCTTTAGACTTGTTGATTAAGTATATCAAGTCATGTTTTTGATAATTATTACTACAATCCTGTAGAAATTATATCATTCCATAAGGAAAAAGAGAAAACAAAACACTAGTTTTACTGAAAATATTAACAATGTATGCCCCTACACATATAAAGTTATAACTAATAACATTTACAAAAGAAAACAAAACAAAACAGGGTGCTTAAACCAAGACAAATCAGGTGAATGGGGACAATGTTTGAATAAGTAGCAAGGCAGATAAGATTTATTTCTTAAAAGCAAATAACATCAGATAAAGACTTAACAGAGATTTTCTTTTTTCTTTCAGAATAAAGATACCAACTCACCTCTAATGCATGAAACCTATTTGAATTCAATCTACACTCACAATTATGATGATACAGGTACTAGACTGTTTACAGCTGGAGGGCCAATGCCATCAGATGTACAAGGAAACTATGCAGGATTTTGGTCTTAATGTAACTTTTTTTTTTTTTTTTTTTGTCTAAGAAATATCAACATATTCATTGCTGGATTGAATAAAATTTGAAGTGATTTTAGATCACTTTCTGAAAAGTAAGTAAAATAAGAAACCACAAAAAAAAAAATAAATTGTCTTTCACTAACCTTTTTTCCCCCTTTTGTAAGTTCCTGTCTGTTATTTGTAACTACTCGTCATCATTGCCACTTTCATTTAGAAAATGTTTTACATTTGGGGATTTTCCTGGATATAGAAACCAGGAAAATCATCAAATGTAAAACATTTCTAACCAAAGGATTTTATTGTCAGATTTCAGCTTGTTTAAATCATGAGCTGTATAAGTGCCTTCTCGACCCACCCCTGATCCGATTGAAAAAATATTTTTCATTAGGAATTTCATACACATTCATCTTGAGCACACAAGACAAATTTATAAAAAGACCTTGTTAGAATTTTTGAATCCCTAATTTAAATTGCTAAAGTTCAAATTTATTTTTTGTACATCAATACCTGTACAGATTTCCTGCTTAAGCTTTATATGTGGCCATGAAAAGCAGACCGATACTGTTAGTAGGTGTATAAAAAACATTTCAACAGGCCCTGCACAAAATATCATTTGTGAAACATGGGCACCAACCCAATGAAATATTTAAATAGGCAAATACCTCCAAAAATATTAAACCTCCAAAATATTTACATGTACCTAAAGAAAGAAAATATATATTGGTGTGATGGATAAACTGTTGTCAAAATTACACAAAAATTAAAATAAAACTGACATCTTATTTTAACAAATATATTTACCAACATTACACAATATCTTGAAATATTAAAGAGTAAATTTATTCAATAAAATCGCCATTGGCTTCAACCATGACCTCCAGATGACTTTAGAATCTTCTGCAACTCTTCTGGATGGTCTCCTTGTTTCAGTTGGTGAATGCTGCCATAATCCTTGCCTTCATTTCATCTTTGGTTTTACAAGGAGTTTTCTTGGTCTCTCGCTACACATAATAATGAAGTGGGGTTGCAGTCTGGGGAGTTAGGTTCCCAGATGTAAGGGGTGATGTGGTCACAGAAATTGTCCGACAGCCATGACTAAGTTCTCGTTTGGCATGGTGCAGTCCTGTTACCAGACATAGGTTCTTCCAGCAGTCACCCTCTTGACCTATGGCAGCACTACCTCCTCAAGGCATTTGATGTAGGCCTCTGTGTGGAGCCTGAGACCCTCAACAACAAATTCGGGAGTTCTTTTCTTCTCAGAATATTCATAATCACCATTAGACTCATCCAACTCTTTCTGAATCCGCTGCACTCTCCTCAGATTGACACACAAACACACTGAAATGTTTGTATTGGAGTTTCCAGCACAAATGTCAAGTTGTACAGCATGCTGTTCCAAATTTCTGGCAAAGTAAATTGTGTCATAATACTCTTTTGCTCATAGATGGTTTCCAACTGACCCTACTATACTGTGCAGTTGACAAAAATCAAAAACAAACAATGCACAAAATTGAAAATGATGACAATTTGCCCATCGCACCCTCTATATTATGATTTCTAACCTCTTTTTCAACAGCAGGCATTCACTGAAAAGTTTTAACATTACATTTATTGATTGTTGGTCCCTTATATAGATATCTTTATGATCAAAAGTCAAAATTGTTAGTTTGCTTGAATTATTAAACTTGTTACAATCAAATTAACTGCAAGAATTAAGGAAATTTTGGTAATATAATTAGTTGACTTGATATTACTAAATATTAAGAAGTTTGACTGGCCAAACCGCTCTATTATGCAGCTATGAATAATTCTGCTATACTTATTGTTGAAATCCAAAATTTCAATAAATCACTTATAATTTTTATTTCCTATGTGTAATGATTTTTTTTTGCTTTGAAAGAAACAAGTGAAAGTTTTGTAAGTAAATTTAGAAGTTTTCATATGGGCTAACATAATTTCTGGATTCATTCAGTAAAATGTCCAGAACTGACTATTGCTTTTCAAAAACTCATGAAATATACCCCAATAACTTTACAGAATTAGCAGCCTCCCTAATTGAGGCAAATTGTTACCTATTAATGTTGACAATTTCAGATCATTTTAGGTATAAAAAAAAATTAAATGCATTTCAACAAAAGTATTTTAATTGACCAACAAAGTACATTAAAAAAATGTTTATTAATGTATGAAGTGGTTCACTTATAGATATATTTCACAATTGATAACTGTTGTTAGTCTTTTGTTGTAGGATGATTCAATCTTCTAAAGCCTGGAAAAGAGGAATGAATATGGTTAAAACAAAACAAAAAAAAATGTTAGAAACTGATTAAAAAGTTGATAAATACAATATTAGAAGGAAGATGAAATTGAATTATTTTACTCAAAAATGATTATAGAAATTGGCATACTTGTATCCTTTTATGTTCAAATTATTTTAATATGAACTATCAGGCCAGGTGTTTCATAGACTAATGTTTATATAGTAAAATTTTCAATTCTCTCTCTCCATGTACCAGGATAATAAAGTCCTGTCTTTAAAGATATCTAAGTATGTACAGTAACTGTGGCAAAAGACAAACTCCCAGTGCAGCAATGGAATTAAAAGCAAAGTTTACTGTAACAAGTACAAATCATACTTGGCATTGAATGTGAAATTGTTCAATAGATGCTTATTGTGGACATAGCTTTACTTGATTAAATAAAACAATTTTCTGCTCTGAACTATCTCATACAGTGAGTGTATATAACAAATTGGAAATTAGTAAATGAGTTCTATAACTGAATATGCAAATTAGTTACCCATTAAGCAAGAACTAGTAAATATAAGTAAGACATAATACTTAGCTCCAGTGAGGTGGAGTGGGGGTATCCTTTTCAACCAACACCTCTCCCACTGCACTTAATAGAGGAGGGAAGTGCCAAGGGAAACTGAACAAGTACCCACATGTGCACATTAAGTTGATATTATCAATGTGATGGCAGGAATACAATCCATATGTTTTAATTGTAAACAAACAACCAACACCACATCACTTTTAAGTATCCACACCAAGATACTGGGGAGAAAAAAAAAAAAAAAAAAAACTTACCTGCCGAGCAAATTCTGGCAGTACAAAAGCAGCTCTGTGAATATCACTATTATAATATCGTAATCCTAATTTCTTGATTTCTTCTCGAGAGAATTCACGTACTGGTTCTTTCAAATTACTATCCTGAAATTGTACAAAACAAAATTTTTAATCTAATATTTAAAATTTTAGTATTTTGAAGTTTCTTAAAACGGTGTCAAGCTGGTATTAAACCCCTTTATTAGAACAAGAGAGGTAAAACTTGACTTGGAATTCAGGTTAATATCACCACCACCCTCCAGCTACTCAGTAATCAATCCTTTATAACCAAAGGATGATTCTTCCCTCACAATAATGAAAGTCAAATTTTTTGTTGTTACACTTGGTCATTTCAAATGCTCTTCATGTACAATTACAGTTAACAGATTGTGTTTTTAATGCATGAGATTGATACTTCCAATCTTTCCAAAAGTTGAATATTGCAAAACATTTGCTATACAATAGATCAAAAACAAAAAACTTTTCTGAAGGAATAGATTTAAAGAGCACTTTCATGTAAAGAACTTATAACAGCATTAAAAATGGATGTAATGTCTTGTTTAATTTACAAAGATAAATTTAGTAATTCTATTATAGCCAGTAACAGATATTATCTAATAAGTGAAGGGGAATAAACTTACTGGATTTGTGCTACAAATCAAAAAGCCAATCTGTCCACTTGGATATGTTGGTATAGTTGTGTAACAGTATTCCACAACTGGATAAAGCTTCTGGCAAAAATTCTTCATGCTTTTTATGAGGTCTAAATGTAGCCACACACATTCACCTTCAAAAATAAATTTAAAATGTATATACAGAACTTGAATATGAAAAATTAACCCAAAATCATTTCTGCTGTCATTTGTCAGAAAAAGTATGAATAGAAAGCATCCTAAAAATCTTAATTGGTTTCAGTAAAACATTTGTTTTCCTGTATTTTTTTAAATTTGTAAATTGGATAAAGTGATTAATTTGAGATAAATATCAGAGAAGGTTTTTTCATTTCTACAAGTAGAAAAGTTTTAATAATTTAAAAGCTAGGTGGTATAGATTTCATCTTTCAAACACTTGCACCAATTAATTGCATGTACTGATTGCAGAGAAAACATTACCTTGATTACAGATTATACCATTTGGTCTGAGGGCTTTCTTCATCAGTTCATAGTAGGATTGCTCAAACAATGATGATGCTGGGCCTATAGATTAAAATTTAAAACTCTTAGTGTGGATTAACACTAAATGAAATTCAGTTTAAAGGAAAAAAACAAACTAAGCAAAGCATATAAGTAGTGTAGAGAATTAGAAATTAGTTTTTGTTGATTGGTGCATAAAAAAAAAAACTTATGAAATACTCCAAGTTAATGTTATTCAAATTAATATATATATAAATTCCTTTCATTAGCCCTTATGCAAATTGTTCTTTTCATATTCTCAATACAATATAATTGACTAATTCTCTTTAATATTTACATCTGAGGTTAATTTCTATTTTATTTAGAAAATTTATCCATGAAATAATCTTGACCCTAATAAATACTTGTAAATAAAATGAACATTAAATCGACAAAATATTCCAAGTGAAAACTAGGATAACCAAGCAATATTGGTATTTAATATACCATATTAATGTTCAGTTATAAAAATTCTTGATGAAAAGTTAAACAGCATTGTTCATGCTATATACTTGGAATCTCATTTTGAACATTCAGTATCCCAACACAGCATTATTACAATGAAGCCAGTTGTGTTTTGCTTGCATATTTTGTACCTTAGCTTATAGAAATAGCTATAGTATAGGAGTCTCATATAGTTTCAGTTGAACCATTTAAAAAAACACCCAAGTGATGCAGACAAACTATTTTGCTTCTATTACTGAAGAAAGTATTGTTTATAAATGCTCAAATTTATAATAGGATGAGAGATGGTTTATCCACAAAGAGATTTTGTGTGAACTATTGACTATTAAGAATACCAGAGGTGGTCTACTTCCACACCTCTCATAATGGAAATAGAGAAAGGTTTGTGAATAAAGTTAGTTTTATTCAATGCCTATAGAGAAACAATAAGGTATTAAAAAAAAAAAAAAAAAAAAAAATCAATTTAGAAAATTTTTGTCACTCAATGGTGCTAGCAATTGGAAACTGTTGGATTTGAACTCAGAAGTAACTTTATACAAAACTTATTAAAACCTGGCCACCACAAGACTTAAAGAGTTGACAGACAAGTGAGATGGCATGTTTAACTAAAGAATTAATTCCCCAAAACATTTGAAATACTAATCCAACAAATTTAGCACTATTTCTAAATTATAAAGTGCTCAAAATAAGTTAAGAATGAGTCATTATCAAATGTGAAATATCAATCATTCTTATACAACAGCACAGCAATACAAGGTGAGGAAGGATTGTTGTCTGACTCCAGGGCATTTGCAGTAAAACAGCAGAGACCTAGCAGGTGCACACATCCTCCCCATATCCAGGGAGTAAGGCAAGATGTGAAGCCAAAGCACATGAATTTGGAGAGAATTTGCTTAGGTATGAAGTTGAAAGTTATGTTTTTTTTTTCTTCTTGGCACATACAGCACCCACACACACACACACACTCCTAAAATGCTCTTACATTCAATAAAAACTTTGAAAATGTTTCTACCCAACATGTCACAACAAGCCACCAAGTTTATCTTACAGAAAATAATTCATAGCATAATGGAAGTCATTTGCTTTAGAGAAAAATGCTGTATACATTTGTCATTTTGGAATTGCTTGTTTGGTAAAGATCATACAATTGAATATTCTTGTTTGCATCCACCCAAATTTAAAAAAAGAAAAAGAAATGTGTAATGAAAAATGTATTTTTTCTTTTTAGCTAAAATACTTGCTCAGATATAAAAAAAAATGTCATGACTGCTTTTTTTATCATTTTCATGCTCTTTACTAAAACATACTTTAAAGTAAATTTTGACGAAGCTGTTAAAGGTTACAATTTACCTACTTGCAATAAAAGATATTAGGCCAGTTGTGTTTTTGAGACCACTTAACGATAGATATATATAGTCTGCCTCATAACCTATAAGATCCTTACAAAGAATATAAAAAGTTCATACCAATTGGGTCAGAGGAATCCGTAATGATAACATCATATTCATTTCTGTGATCAGCCATGAATTTGAAACCATCAGCAAAATGGATGTTGCACTTAGGACTACTGAATCCACATGCAAGTTGTGGAAGATACTTCTTTGAGACTTCAACAACTTTCTGGAATATGAGATTTAATGAGATATTTCTATGAAAATAAAAATGAATAATATAGCAAGAAACTAATACATCAAAATTTGTTTTAGTTATTTGAAATCAAGAAATCCTTTTACTACAAAGGACCGATTGAAATTGACAGGTAAAAGAAACAAGCCATAAGTTCAAGAACACAAAACTGATGCTCACAATTGGAAGAGAAAATAATATAGTATTGTATCTAAGATTTTTATGCAGCAATATTTACATATTGACAAATGAAAAACATTTTAAACCTGAGAGGAAGTCAAAGACAAAAAAACAATTTTCTCTTTAACTAGTTATAAAGTTAATGTTGTTTTTGTTGACAATTATTATACATATTTTGATAACCTTTTCTATCTATCCGCTTCTTAGCCTTTTAAGGAGCTGTAGATTTTATAGTAAAAGCAGCTTTCAATTTATTCTTTCAACTAGCAGAATACTCTGTATTGCCCAGGCTGAAAAGACGAGGATTGTTGTAATGAAAGCATATTTGGAATTAAAAAAAAATCTTCCTGTCAGAACTGATCCAATATCTGATTGTATCTCAGCACATCACAGGGATAGTGATTAAGTTACTATGTAAGGATAAACACAGTGGAGATAGAATTAATTTCCAGCCTTTAACAAGGCTGTTAAATAACAAATATTTTAGCTAAGATCTTAGCTGACTAGTCAAAGGCCAGATTTCAAGTATAACTAAATTGAAAAACATTGTTTCATCCCCTCACCAATCCCTTGCAGGCTGAGGTCACAAGTGTGTTCTTTATTAAAATTGACTACTTGATGTGTTTCTACAGACTTTCTCAATCATTTATTTTTCTCTAAGGTTAGTGCCAATTAACAAGCTTTCATTAACCCAGAATAAAGAGAACTTTAAATCTCTTAGTTATATTTTTTTATAACTCAAATCAAGTTCAATAATTTATATGAATTATATTTTTAACTAGTTTATACATGTTGAGAGGAATGAAAAGTAACTTAAGTATTGAACAGGGGTTTGTTGATTAGTTTTTCAGTAACAATTATTTTTACTTAGCCTGTTGGATTGACATGCTGTTAATAACTTTGCAAAAAGTTATGAAACTTCAATATCAGATTTCTTGACAGTTATTCTCGTACTAACTTACCACATTGCCTAAGGTGTATAAGAAGATAGAACTATTGTATTATCAAAGACAAGGACACTGATTAGTGTATAGAGTGAGATTTCAAAATTTGGTATCAGTCAAATTACAAGATCACCTACAAGAGGTTTCAGAAACTACTGATCTGTATAAGCAGTCACAAGTATACAAATGAGACCAGACATTAACGACAATATGAGAATGACTCCAAACTGGGGGAAAAGGTGACAAGTTCAACAATTCAGTGAACAGAATATAACTTGAGACAAAAAGAAAATAACTAATTTTCTGGGATGTGGGTTCAAATTTTTATATTATAAAATGCAGTGCTGCATTAAAACTGATCTTCAATTTGAGTTAAAATTTAAATATAAATTCAAATGTTAGTTGTAATATAAAATGTAATGGGACTTTATATATTCATTTATCACAAATCCTTATCTCAATTATATTTGAAATAATATTGTGTTATGGTAACAAGAGGCAGTATTTGATGGCCATAAGAAAACACATCTCATGTTAAAATATAACAATATTATTAGTAAGTAGGGGGAATCAAGCTGCTAATACACTTTCTGATTTCTGTTCAGTGTCAGCTTTGGATATTTTTACTTTTAATGATTTAAAATGCACAAATTCTCTTGTGACAATAACATAATTGCTTACTTAAAATCCCTGATTGCTCATACAAAAAATATAATGAATACAAATATTAAATCACTTAAATATTGCCATCATTTTTGACAGTACAGATAAAGAACCAAATTATTTTTTTAAAAATTCATCCATGAAGGTTGGTGTATAAAGACAAACCAATTTCGTCCTTTCATCTAGCAGGAAATGTTGCTACCTATTTAATGAAAAAAATGATGGCTGCTGCTGCCTCTACACAACTTGATCTATAATTTAATGGCTCAGCATTTCCACTGGAATCTAATAATTCCTTGCTGTCGACATGCATTAAACTTGTAATGATATTCTGTCAGTCTTGATTAAATTTATGCTTATTTGGTAATATTAAAATCAACAATGTTTAAATTATCATCATGTCAGATATTGCAGACTGTTTTTTAGTGAAATAAGATAAAGTTATTAGCTGCTTCAGATGAGTGTCAGGATCTAGAATGAAATCATCACATTTTTTTTTTCATTTTTTTTTAAATATATTTAAGTGGCCTGCTTTAGGTCAAGTTTACAAGTGAGACTAAACTTTGAAGAAACTTTTCACTCTTTCTGGACCAACAGTATGTAATGAGATAATTAAACATTTAGATTACAGAATTATCTTTCAAATATAAATACCTTGTCAATTTCACAGAGATCTACAGTTTCAACAAGAGGATGTTTCACAATTTCCCTTAAGACTCCACCATCACCACCTCCAATGACCAAAACCTGAACAAGAAGAAAATGGTAATGTTAACACAATGTTCAACCTTGTCTCATCTATCCCCTCCTCTGATCCCTCGTTCACAGGCTACCTTCCTCTCCTCAGAAAAGACTCTAACCCACATGCATGGCCTTGGTGTCTACGTCAAGGACCATCTCCCTCTGGCCAGAGAGTTGTCTCTCGAATCGTCAGACCAGTCATACATGTGTCTCCGACTATCTCTTCTCAATGCGGTAAGCTATCTCTTCTTCCTTTACCGCTCTCCATCCTCTCAAGACTGTGGGATACTCGATAGCATTTCTGACAGCATAGACAAGGCTCTCTCCCTCCACCTGTTTGCTCACATATTTGTGTTTGGCAACTTTAACGCCCATCATACCATGTGGCTTAAGAATGCTACTACTGACCACGCAGGCATTCAAACACTCAATTTTTCAGTCTCTCAATCCCTCACGCAGATAGTTAACTTCCCCACTCATTTTGCCTTCAACCGGGAAGGTAAAGCCTCTCTTCTCGATCTGTGTTTTACCGCCATCCCCGAGCCCTGTAGCGCCATGCAACTCCGCCCTCTTGGTAACTCTGATCATGCGGTAGTATCTGTTAACATCTCCTTCAACTCCCACCCCCTGCAAAGAACCTCCTACCACTAGAATTTCGTTCTACTATCAACGAGCTGACTGGGACGTGTTTCGTGATTTCCTCTGGGATGTTGTCTTTACGCTCACTGTCCAAGAATGTGCTTCTGAGGTCTCATCCTGGGTTAAAGCTGGAATCGACACTTTTATCCCCTCAAGAGATTATAGGATCAAGTCGCGCTCCTCCCCGTGGTTCTCCGCTGCTTGCTCAGCCGTCATCGCCCATAGGAACCACTTCTTTCACCTATTTCGTAGCGACATGTCTGACTGCAATAGACGTCTCTTTGCCTCCGCCTGTAACGAGTGTAAGCATATCCTCAACAAAGCTAAGTCACTATTTGCTGCTTGGATGAAGGAGCGTATTGCATCTCGCAAATTTGGCTCCAAAGATTATTGGCATCTCTGCAAGAGCGTATTGAACAATTGCAAACCCTCTATACCTCCTTTGTTCAACCAGTTCGAAGTCCTGACCTCCTCTGCCGACAAGGCTGAATGCTTTGCTTGGAAATTTTCATTCAACTCAACGCTCAACTCTTCCAGTGTACCCATACCCGACTTCCCTCTTAGAATTGAGGCCCTATTGAGTGGGTTACACATAATGCCCAATACCAAAGACGGGGTTATCTTCAATTTAGACCCAACAAGGCTAATGGTGGTGATGGGATACCAGCCATTGTCTTGAAGAACTGCGTGCCTGAACTGGCACCCGCCCTCTCTAAACTATATAACTACTGCCTCAAGGAATCTTGTTTTCCTGACTGCTGGAAGTCCTCTTCGGTTCCTGTCTTCAAGAACTCTGGCGACCCCTCTGACCCTTCTAACTACCATCCTATCAGTCTCCTACCCCTCTTTGGCAAAGTCTTTGAAGCCCTAATCAATACCGAAGTGGTTAACCACCTCACATCCCATGATCTGCTCTCAGACAAGCAATATGGCTTCCGCTTTGCCCAATCTACAGCTGATGTGCTTATGGCCATCATTGAAACTGTCTACCAAGCTCTTCAAAATAATGGGGAAGCTTGTGCCGTGGCCCTAGACATCTCCAAAGCATTTGATAGGGTTTGGCATGCCGGCCTTCTTCGCAAGCTCCAGGGTTATGGCATTACGGGTCGATTGTTTGACCTAATACAATCATTCCTGTCAAACCATGAATTGAAGGTCATTCTCAACGGATTCTCCTCCAGTTCCTATCCCACGAACGCAGGTATTTTTCAAGGCTCCATCCTAGGCCCCACTATTCCTTATCTACATAAATGACCTTCCTGACACCATAAATTCCCAAGTTGGCATCTACACGGATGACACCACAATTTATTCCTGTCTCAAAAACAAATCTAGTGTCACTGACAAAAATAACCTGGCCGTGCGTCTCGAAAAGGACCTCCAATTAGTTGTGAACTGGGGCAGGAATTGGCTGGTCAACTTTAATGCTTCAAAAACAAAACTGCTCTATTAGTCACCACAGGGGATCCTTCCCTGCCCACCATTAGAATGTCTGACGCTCAACTTCTCGAGAGCACCTCTCTGTGGCTGCTTGGTCTCACGTTGGCTGCTGACCTGAGATGGAACAAATACATTGAGTCAATTGCTTCGTCCACCGCAAGGAAAGTTGTCTCCCTGTGCCGCACCAGGAAATTTTTCTCCCCAGAATCGATCCTCCAGATCTACAAATCAACAATTTGCCCTTGCATGGAGTATTGCTGCCATATATGGTCTGGAGCCCCTTCTGTTTGCCTCAGGGTTCTTGATAGGCTCCAGAGGCGGATATGCAATATAATTGGCCCTGCTCTGACATCTCGTCTACAGTCACTTTCTGACAGATGTGCCATCGCCTCTCTCTGTCTGTTTTACAAATACTTTCATGGCAATTGCTCTGAGGAGCTGCATTCGCTGGTTCCCAGACTTCATGAGTTCAAGTGCCCTACGAGGCTGGCATCCCGCTCTCACCCTTTCACTGTCAAAACTCCTAAATGTAGCCATCTCTTCTACTCCAATAGCTTCATGTCTCGCACCTCTCACCTGTGGAACTCTCTTCCCTATTCCAGTTTCCCTGAGAGCTATAATCTCCAGCTATTCAAATGTAATGTCAATTGACATCTCCAGTTGCCTTGATCTATCCACTATCCTTCTCCTCATCTTTTCCTCTATCACTCCTATCTGATCTTGCTCCAAATTTTCTGTAACCCCTTGTGTCCTAGTAGCTTCTTGCCTTGCTTGTGGGTGAAATGCTTAAAACACTTCAATTTACTTTAAATTTAGTTTGGTATTAAGATTTCACTTAGGGGGAGAAAAAAGGTAAAAAATATGGACAATCACAATAAGCTCTGACATGCAATTATTTTCATACTCAATACTTGAGTTAACATATCAAGATCAACTTAAAAAGATTCTTTTAATATTCTGTAACCATTTCTGATTCGGGGCTACCAGAGAAAGAGAGAGACAGACACACACAAGATAATCAATAACTATAGTATCTTAGTACACTCTTGCTTCTTCTTTCCCCTGGTGCATTTCTGTAAACATACAAAATATTAATTGCTGTAAATATTAATAATGAAGATGTATTTTTGTTATACAAGCAAGTATTGCTCAAAAAATTGATCTGTTTACTACTCCTTCCAATTTTGGAGCTTGTAACAGACGAAACATAACTGTTTCATGGAGAGCTTAAGTATGGATGACCAAAAATAACAAAACTTACCATTACACATAATCTGCCTCTTGTTTTCAGTAGGTCATGTGAAGGTAAGTTCACCAAACTCTTTCTACATTATTTGTCCCAAAAATTTCAACTCTTTCTGATTGTAAGTAGAAGTGTCCATTTAGTTCCAATTTTCTTTAAAACTTCCTCATTGCTCACATAATCAGTCCATGGTATTCTTGGCATTCCACTTGGGATGTCTCATTTACAATACATTCTAGCTTTTTACAATTAAGAGTCACTCACTCACTTTCCTTTACTACCTTGTCTAAGATGGTTTTTTAATTTTTCACCAGAGTCTGCTATCAACACAGTCTCATCTGCAGATCTTAGGTTAAGATTATATCTGCTGATAATAAATCCTGGTGTGTCTTATAGTTCTCTTAGGATCATCTTGATTTACAAATTAAATAAATCCAATGAGTAAACATTCTTGTTTTACTCCTCTTTCTATTCACATTTTATCAGTAAATGTCACAGATTATTCTATCATCTTTCCTATATAATTCAAGCTTTCTTGCAGTTCAAGTAGGTCCATGCAATACTTTACCAAATGCTTAAGCTGATTGTCCAATGGAGTTCAAATTAATTTACACCAGGGTTCTTTGGCATTACCATGAAGATTGATCTACTGATGTAATCCAGTATTTTCCCACTGTAATACTTTACTTCTTATTGCAGTACCCTTATGCTAATTTATTTCTCTTCATCTTTGCCATCATACTTCAAATTTTAATATTGCAGGTCTTTCAATGTTTTTATAAATTGTCAGGTTTTTTCCCCCTCAGTAGTCATGTAGACCTCCCCAAAGTATTCACTCCATTTATCTTTTTTCCCCCCTTTTTAGATTTTATGCATCCTGTCAAAGCAGTTTTCCTGTTCTATGTCTTATCTTTTTAAGTATGTCAGCTATCCCTATTTCTGCATGTTTAAGTTATTCATCTTGCATTTACTTCTAATTTATTTAACATCCTATATTTGATGCTATTCCTCATCTGCTATCCTTTTTCATTAGTTTGAGAATTTCATCAGTCATCCAATTTTTTTTCTTGTCCTTTAGGATGACCTCTTTTGTCATTGTCACTAGTGCTTCATTAATGTGATCCACTTTGAGTTTCTGATGTCTAAGGCTTTAAATTTGTTATTAACTATATCTACATATGTCTATTTGCAAAGTGAATTGTTCTAGAGCTTGTCATATTGTATTTTATTCATTCCTCCAGGTTTCTTTAATTTCCATAATTTTTAATTTACCTATGACTGGGATGTGATCACACTCACTGCTGGTGCTTGGTCATCTTTTACAGTGTAGAACTGCATTTTTTTTAATCTTTTACTGATTGTTAGGTAGTCTATTTGGTTCTTTCTTTCCTCTTATGCTTTTCCATGTCTATAAACTTCTTGAGTGTTCTTCAAACCAGGTGTTGGTTATTACTTTCTCATCTGCTGTGCACCAATGAACCCATTTTTCTCTACATTTTCTGAACAATCCAAATTCATACTTGCTGACTCTTTCATCATCTTGTACATTTTTCCTCTTGTCTCTAATATTAGTTTGTCTCATTTTATTTTCTATACTTGTAAATATGATTAATTATTGCTTCTGAAGTACCACCTAGTTCATCCATCTAATTTTACATTTTTTTTAATCAATTAACCCCATCAAGGTGATAATGCCACTAAGACACAGATGGTTACTGAGAATGAAAGTGAATGAAAAGACTTTAGAAGGAACCAGAAACTTAAACCTAAACAGGAAACAAGATAAATCTCTACTCCTGTTCAAAAAACAGGGGAGGAGTGTGGATCAGATGAAAGAAAACCCATCTACTCCTATTGAGAAAAAATAGTAAATAAAATTTCAGAGTTTATGTGGAGATGTTAGAAGTATAGAATTGAATTAGACTTTAGAAGCAACTGAAAACACAATTCTAAGCAGGAAACAAGGGATAAACCTCAACTCCTGTTCAAAAGACTGGAGAGGAATATGAATTGGATGATAGGCAAGCTTTTCTACTCCTATTAAGAAAAAGTAAGATAGTAAATAAAATTTTGGAAATATTGATATTTAGCTGTTCAATTTTCTAACTTTCTGCATTGATATAGTGTTCTAACATACCATGAAGGTCATGATTTTGGCTTTGCTGATAACAGTCAAGCACCTGTTGCCTGTTATTGAGCCACGAATCCGTTGATAGTTTCCCCATTTACCTTCTCCATGATGGCTATTGAGATACTGGCTCTAGTCAACTGGTCATTAAATTTTTTAATTCAATTGACTAAACGTCAGTTTTGTAATCTCTTGGTTAGGCCAAAATTTTTTCAGCATTCCTTCAAATATATTATTCAGAGGGAAATAAATACTTAACTCTCAGCAAAGTAATATTCTGCTGAGAGATTCAGATGAACAAAATTAAGTACAATTGGTTTAGCAATATATAGTTTCATTCACTTAGTGAAATACATCATTAATAAATATTATAAATTTAATCATTTTCAGCATGATTAAGCTGACAATTGTCTATATATATTTTTGATTTAGGAGTTACGTAATCACGGTCAGTCATGGAAAAAGCCAAAAAAGTTATTTTTACATTGAACAATGTTATGCATAAATGTATTCAGTGTATTTTGAAGGACATCAACAGAAAAAAGAAAAAATCTTATGTAATTATTGGTGCTTAGAACTTCCTGTTCAGGTTGTCTTATTTGGTTAAAAAATAAACTGAAATTTTTATAGTGATATCTTTAAGTAAAAAAAAAAGAGTAAATACAAAAAAAAAAAATACCTTTTTAGGACAAGGATGACAGTTGAGAGGTAAATGAGCTATCATCTCTTGGTAGGAAAATTCATCACGTTCTGTACACTGGATTACTCCATCCAAAACCAAAACTTTGCCATAGGTTTTGCTAAAAAAAAAAACAAAAACAAAAAAAAATAAACATATGCAAATTATATTTATGAAGCAAAATTAGGTTTCAATGTTTCTTTTTATGCATTAATCAAAAATCCATTTGTAATGATATAAAAAAAAAAAAAAAAAAAAAAAAAAAAATGTCATATCAAAATTCCTGTATAAATTCTAAGAAAAATCTTTATGGTAATACTGCTTGAAAATTATTAAGAGAGGTGGTCACAAGGTCAGAGAAAAACAGACCCTGGAATACAGGGTCCCTAAAACTGGACATGATGTATATAGAGAAAAATCTGCTTATACTCAAAATGAAATTTGACAACATTCTGGAACAGATGTCCAAGGAAGACTGAAAGGTGCATATCAAAAACTAAAAACAAGGAATTCAAATAAATTACATTCAATGATTAAATACAATACATCTAACAAAACAATATTTCCATGTTTAAACAATTATAGCTTTGGTAAAGCAAACGTTAAAAATGACACTAAAGTATCTGGATAAATTTCTTAGTTTAATTTTAAGAAAAATCTAGAAAGAATAACCAGCCCTTGATATTCTTCTCTCTGGATATCCTGCTATCCACTTTGCTTTATTTAGCAGTGGATCTGGATAAACATTCAAATTATACATATATTTTTCAGTCTCACAACTAACAGTGAAAGTATGTTTTTACATTAAAAAAAAATTTAAAAGTAACTTTATTTGCTTAGTCTACTAAACAGAAGAAAATTCTTCATTCACTAATTTCTTCTACCCACCAAAGTTTAGCATTAAATTTGATGCTTAAATTTATTTCTTAAACTTGGTTTTATCAGAATCAAGAAGAATATACAGGTATATATAACCTGCTTTTCGAAAGCTATGGCATATACACCTTTACTTTTACAAGAAATATTTATTAGTACAGCTTCTTTTGCTATCCAAAATTGTATAAAACAAAAAACAAACAATTGCCATGAATTAAGAAGTAAAAGTTTTTGAATATTCAGACAGACCAAATAATATTCATTGGCTGCTTGGATTAATGTTTGTTGTGGTTAATGTGAAAGTCTTTAAATAAAATTGGATACTTGACTATTTAACAACTTGAATTCTCTTATTCTTTGGAGGCATTGAAAATATCCTGTAAACCTTACCTAAACAGTTATACTTTACTGTATCCTTTTAACACTATAGATTGTAGTGAAAGAGGTTATTTAATAAATCTGGTAATGCTCAAAAGATCCTCCAACATGAATTAATGATAATTGCTTATTTGCTTTCTGATATTTTAGCTTACAAAAGGTTGAAACACTAATTTCAGATAGAATACATGAGGGTTTTGAAAAGTTCTTGACTTGGTCCAATTAAAATGTTTTGAAAGGTTTTTTTTTGGACCAAAAAACTTTCAGCCTTTTATATAATAAAAATAAGTGAATACACATAATATCCCATGTTGATAGCACAACTAGGAGTTTCATACAGTTACACAATTATGTGTATTTACTAATATATATTTAATAGCTCTGCTATATGACATTGAACACTGTTTTTATAAAACCGGAGTAAAAAATATATATGAACATGCAAGTATCTGTATGTATGCATATGTTTTTTTTACCATACCCATATGTAAAATAAAAATAAAGATTATGTAATAATAAAATTAAACATAAAAGAAAAACAATATTTTTCTTTTTAAGGGAAGCATTTCTAGTTATCACTACTGAGTTTTGCTGAGATTACATCTACAAATGAATGGACCTAATCTGGGTAGGAATAAGACCAAAGTTCCTTCAGGAATAGAGTTTCCAGAACAGCCTCCAAAGGAGTTCTTTCTGGAATGGAAAGTTTATCACCCACAAAAGTACCAACAAAGTTTGAATAGCCAGCCTGGGATCATGCCTCAATGGGCTGCAACTACAACTACCATCTCTATCAGAAGGGAAGGTGCAAATCAAATTCTCAATAGAGGCAAACTGTGGGTATCTTCCATTATAACTGGCCCTGAGGTTATCTCATCTCTGTCAAATAAGACGAAGATCTTTGCAATGAACTTTGCTTCTAAATCCATGCTAGGTGACAAGGATCATCCCTTACCCAAATTCCCCATTCTCACAGAACACAAATTATCTCAGTCTCAACTGGGGAAGTTATAATAAGCCTTGACAATGACAGCTACTAGTCTGGATAAAATTCCTGTAGTTGTTCTAAAGAACCTTAATCTAGGGCTATCCCCAATCTTGGTAAAATTGTTTAACCACTGCCTGAAGGGGAAACAGTTGTAAGGTCTCAGTTGTACACTCAGTTTGTAAGAATATACGTGAGCACTTATCTGCCTTGCAATATCATCTATCAGCAAACTTTTTGAGGTTATCATCAGTTACCACAACAGAAAGAAACTCCTGAGCAACAAACAGTATGGATTTTGCTCCTCTAGGTCCACTGCTGATGTCTCAACTGCCATGCATAGAATCAATGAAGCACTTGATAATAAATGAGAATGATCACCTTAGATATCTCAAAAGCTTTTGAAAAAGTGTGGCAAAGGGACTGCTGCACAAACACCCCCCCAGTCATAGCATTTCTGGAAGAGTTTTCACAATTATTAAGTCCTTACTATCAAATATGTTCATGAAGCTCAATGGTCAAGCCTTTGAAGATTATGGGATCAATGCAGTCATCTCCCAAGTCTTTCTCCTCTGTCCTATCCTTTTTTTCTGCTATATTTTGACAATCTGCTGAAGATTCTCAGATCACAAGTAAATATATATGCAATCAATACCAATGTTTATGGGACCACTGTCAAAAATCTAGAGGACCAGAGCTTGGCACCTGATCTGTTCTGACCTTGCTCAGACAGCTCAATGGGAGAACTGGCATGTAACATTCAATACTTTCAAAACTAAGTTTGTAATGTTACATCATCACAAAGCAAAACCTGAGTTTTCTCTGGTCATGTTGAATGGTTGTAGACTCTTTGCCTAGAATATCTATTGAGACAAGCTCACTAACCCTGTGGAACTCATACATACAAGCTGTCACTAAAGAGGCTAGAAAGATAGTAACTTCTGTACCGCTCCAGAAAGTACCTAACTCCATCTTTACAAGCATCAGATCAAACCAAAAATGAGTATTGCTGACACACCCGGTCTGGAACCGCCCAATCTTCACATTTCAGCTTCAACAGAGTTCAAAAGCATTTATGCGATGAACTGTTCTCCCCCACTTATACAACCTCTTTTTCACAGGGAAAGTGATGCATGACTTGCTACTTTTTTGCTATTTTCATGGCAGATGTTTGGGCAAACTACATTCCTTGGTTCTACCAGTTCAAAACTTCACTAACCCACCAGGCAACATACACAGAATTGACATCCTCATTCTCTTCATATTCCATTGATGTGGAGAAAGTTTCACACAAACAGCTTCTATCCCATACTGCATTGTGGAACAGACTGACAAGAGAATGCTTCCCTGATCACTACAATCTTAACCTCTTCAACTATGGTCAAAAGCTATCTATACTACATCCTCATAATATGCAGCCCTCTTGCTCCCTCTCAAACTGTATGCCCTTACAACATCTCGATTTAGTAACCCTCTACGTTGAGTGGCTCTTGGGCTTTGTGTTGAAGGAAAATAGTAAGGTAAATATTATACACACACACATGTTGGTCAAAAAGTACTGTTTGTTTTAATTTAAAAGTCAAAATTCTTTTTTAGCTAACTATAAAGCATAAAGAGTTTAGTAGCCCAAGGGAAAAAATTATAGTGTTACCTTCTATTCTACTTATAATTATTTCAAAATGGCTGTATTTCTGTATACATGAAGAAAGCAAAATATGACAATGTTGCCCCTTGACAAAAAAATTAAAAAGTGAGGGTTAATTGGTATACAAATAAATTGAGAGACTTTACAAGACTGTTATTGTGACTTGGCATTTTGTTGACAAGAACAAGCAAGTCAAAATATTTAGTGCCCTCTCTGACCTGTCAGAGATGTTATTTTCCTTAGAGGATGTTTTTCATTTAAAAACATTTGAAAGCAATAATAGGAGTAGATAGGTACTCCTTTCATGTTTATCCCTTGTTTCCTGTTCAGGATATGGCTTAGTGATCCCTTTAACTTCTTGGTGATTTGACTGATCAGTGGTTGTGACTTCCTTGTGAGGATACCAGGTTGGCAGTTTTCTGGTTCATGCCTCCTGACTGTAATAAGAAGCCCAAACTCTTTGGTAATGTTTAGAGATGCTGCTCTTGTCGACAATTGCATAATATCAAGGTATTTGTAGTGCATTTTGTATATGGATAAGTGCCCCTGCATGTACTTCTGGAGGACAACCCCAAGATGACATTATGACTTAGTCTCAGCCATTTTCTGGCCCATTTATATTGGCATAGACGATGGACAGTGATAATTTTTTGGTCCTTTTTCTATGAAAACTATCTTGTTCTGTCTCCTTAACGTTTACTTTTTATCATATTCTCACACAGTAACCCTTTGCATCTTAGTGGCTTTAGAGTCATTCCATGTCAAAGCAACAAGGGTCTGACTATCACTGACACAGATTTTTTTTAAATTTGGTACACTTATAGAGATTCATGAGATGAATTGAATGGTGCCTATTTTACATTTCTTGGTCAAGGGTTAAAAAGATATGAAACACTGACCTTTTCCAAAATTCACCTTTTTTGCAAATAGTCACAAAGTTTAAATATCAATATCTCAATGTTTTTTCACATAGAAAGCTAAATTATATACCATTTTAAAGTACTTTGATAGATCTAAAATGTGATCTATTTACTTTTTGTTTTGAGGTCAAGTAAAATAATTTGACTGAGCTTTAATTTCTCAAAAAGTGAATCTTTAATTTTTTTTTTTTTTTTTAAATTGACAAATTTGTCTGCTTTATGGCAATATATGTAAAAAGTCTTGTGATAGAATTTTGACGTGGGCTACAAGGGTTTTACAGAATTGGGCCAAATTCCCTATATGTTAACATTTTCCC